CTTTCACCACTGTCCATTCACATAACTACAGATTTGTAGTGTTTTAGTACAGTGGAAACCTCCTGGTGATCGCGTCTGTCTGGGTCATATTAATCACGCTAAGCAGACAATTATTACATTCAAATGTCTTTTCTTTTCTTTTATTTCTCAGGTAGATTACCATCTAATAGACATTTGGATATTTATTACATGAATGTAAAGTAATAAAACAGACAGCTTTGGTATTTCAAAATAAAATCCACTTTTCAAATGACTGTACAAATTCAATTTCTGTGAATTCAAATACACTATACATTAATAGAATACAGTATGGTATATAAAGTAGTTCAAATTGTAATAGCCTAAATTTGTATTGTGCTGTTTACAAATGCAAGTAGACTATTAAGCCACCGCTTGGTGCTGCTTTCAGTGCATATCTACATTCTCAACAGCCTGAAAATAAACTGTGGGCTATCAATGCCAAACTGGAAGCAGAGTTTGAAAACAAAAACTTTCATAAAATATTTAGATTTTTTTCTATATGTTTCTGAACAGACGCAAACTGAACACTGTAAGAGGACTACTTGATTAAGCAAATCGTTTAAACATTGCTGCTTCCCAGCTGCATTTTTGTATTGTATTTTTGGTGTTCTTAATTTATTGTCTAGTTATGTTAATAAATTCACTTGATTTGGTTGTTTTAAAGGTGTTTATTTGTGTTGAGTTTGGGTCAGTGTTGGGATGTTGTTCGTCCCATGTTGCCACCAAAGGGATAGAACAACCATGAGGTGAGATAAAGCTGTGCATCTGATGGCCTTGAGTGTAGTGGTTGTCTCTTTTGTTAGAATATCTGTAAGTTGTGGCTACATGTTGTGCTTTTGACTGGGGTAACTCAGTAGCTTGGGAGTTTTTGCTGTTGAGCACTCTAACTAGGTAGCCACCGGGCAGGTTTAAAGAACTTGCCACTTTGTTTTTTTGCCTTTCTTATTTTTGGTGGCAATTCTGAGTGGGGGCACGCTTCAGTGGATCGCAGATGGCTACATCTGTGGCCTTCGGTGATGCACTGAGTTCAGCGTTTAAAGTCGCCTCGAGCTCGGCAAGCCACTGAAGACTAGCTAGATTAGTTTAGCCATCTTGGTAGGTAGGTTGGGGTGTCTCTATGCAGCTTGTTTTCCCTAGCACTATGCACAACAGCTTTAGCTATTTGTTTGAGATGACTGCTTTGTTTGGTCACTTCTCTTCCAGCTGTGAAATACTCTTGTTTGCAATAACTTGTGGATCGTGACCCATTGTTTAGTGGTAACTGTACTCCACATTTGGTAGGTCACTCGTCGGTTGCTTCTTGGGTGGAAGTTGGCAACATTTGTGTGTAGTTTACTACAATGTGACCATTTTGTGTTGTGGTTGTTGCAGTCCACCTTCTGGTGTGGTCACACGTGTGTTATTGCGGTTGTGTATTTAGTTACAGAACATTAATTTTAGTTTTTTGTGCGTTTGGGATGTGCTAACACCACAGACCTTTGGATTTAAAGTGGTGGGGGTATCCTCCCAGTTCGTCAGGTTCGGTTGTGTTGCTGGTTTCCTAAATCCTCAAGTAACCAGGGTATGTGGTTGATGACCACATGGTGCCCATATTGTGTTGCGACAGTTCACTTTTGTTGGGTCGTGGTGTGTTGCTGTTTGTGTATGGCAGCTACCTTGTAGTTGGTCTACTTGTGTTGACCCTTTTGGTGTGTGGCTGTTGTGCTCCACTTTTGTGCGGGTCACCAGTGTTACAGGGGTGTAGGTAAATGCAGTAACTTGTGTCTGGTTTTGTGGTCTTTTCACCTCACGATAGTGGCCAATTTGTGGAAGTGGCACCCGCTGATTTGGCTACAAGTGTGGTTGCTGTTCTTAAATCCAGTGCCAACTTAGTTATCCCTTGCATGTGGGATGTTCCACATTTGACCCACGTTCACTTTTTTCTTTAGTAAGCTGCAGTAATACCAATTTGGTTGATTTTAATTGTCTAGAGTTTGCTGCATATTGAGGCTTGAAGAGTTGCCATGTGGGTGCTCTCAGCAACATTGTATGTGCCTACTTGAGTGCAAACCTGGATTAGTGCACCTGTGAGGTGTTGTCTCGTGGATTTATTTTTGTAAATTTACTTGGGTTTACCTAAACATACAGCCTTGGTAAGTCATACCTCAGTTCGGTCCAGTGCATTCCTAAGAATAACTTGTCACAGTGAACGCTTGTGAGCTATATTTTGTCCATGTTGATGTTGTACATGTGATTGTGTGACAATAAAGTTATTCTTTGTTTTAAGGGTGGGGGTGTTACGGCTGTATGTATTTCCCTGTGCTGTGTCCATGTTTTCTGTCCTTCAGTTCTGTTCTGGGAGTGCTCCAGCTAATTACCGAATAAGGTCCACCTGGCCTTTGAAGGCGGGCTTTAAAAGCTGCTGTGCAAGTGTCAGGAGGGGACCCTTCTTGATTTGGTACTGCTAGCCTTGCTGCTTCCCAGCTGTATTGTGTTTTTGGTGTTCTTAATTTATTGTCTAGTTATGTTAATAAATTCACTTGATTTGGTTGTTTTAAAGGTGTTTATTTGTGTTGAGTTTGGGTCAGTGTTGGGATGTTGTTCGTCCCACGTTGCCACCAAAGGGTGGCATGGGTATACATTTGTATAGTAGTGATTCTGTCGCGAGCATATGATGCATTGAAGCAGCTGATCACTGTAACCCTGATCACTACAAGGGGTTTCCACTGTATTGCAGATCCGTAATGTTGGAATAGCTTATAGCTTGTCTGTGTAAGGAATGAAATGTTTCTCTTGTAAACTCACTTTAACTTTTGTTTTTTTTTGGTGTGAGGCTCTGCTGCAAACACTTTTAGCAACATTCATTACCATGGTGTACAATAAAAAAAAAAGACATTATCCTGCTAACCACGGGCCCTTGGATGGAATTAGGCAGAAGTCCCAGTGGAAGATGGAGCTGATTAAATGTTTTCCTAATTGAGAGAGCCAAACTAATTTGCAATGAATCCCAGATCTTTTTCTTCTGTTGCATGAGAAGAGCTCATTAATAAACTCTGTCTAATTATAAGTTATGATTAAAGAGGGTGGTTTATTTCAACAGGATACTTTGGAGAAGTTCTCAAAAATACTTGCATTTGGTTGGAATTAATAAGGAGGGGATCTTGTACTCCAGTTTGATATTTATTCTACACAATTTTAATGAAATTCTAGACGATCATAAAATAAATCTATTAATAATCTATTTTATGTTTAAAAGAAAGAAACCTAAGAATTTCACACGTCAATCTAGCAAATTAACAATATGCCTTACCCACCCAGTGCACAGCATCAGACCTTTTTTTTTTTATTTACCTTATTGCTTTTGCTGTAACTGTGTTCCTGTGGCACCATCTGCAGGATCCAAAGGGAGTATCAACACTTCCTTTAGCTTGAATGCGGTGCAGGGATCACTCTGTAGCTGACTGTGAATCTGCAGATGCAAATAAGGGGTGTGACAGTATCCAGATGGAATATGGTGACAGTGATTAATAAGAATATTGGTAATAGAGGACATTTTGACTTGTTCCACACTCTGATCACTGATAAGCTAAGACTTATTACTGATGAATGTGGTCAGACAACAAGTGATGCTGGAGCATGACCTGTGAGGTTCTCCCTAATGGACCTGCAGAGAGACTTCAGAGTGATAAATGAAACTTTACTAAAATATTTTTTCAAAGGCATCTTTAATTAAGCGGAGTTATGCAGTTAATTATTCAATAAGTTTCAGTGTTCAACTGACACATTGTTATTTCCAATGAAATGCTCCATGTTCTGGCTCCTTTGGTCTTTCAACATTCAAAAACTTTTAGTTGAGTTTATGTCATTTTGCTCACAGAATCACAAACTACATTTAGATTGGGACTTTTTTTTAATGTACAAACTTTTATTTTGTTGTATAGGCTATTTGGTCATGTCCAAGGTTAACTTTTCATTATGAAAATTAAATTGTGGTAGTTACATCAACAGATTATAATGATTTCTCAACAGATGCAAAGTCTTGGTCTTGATCCAGCTAACTGTCAGTAGCTTTTAGCAGCTAAAGTAGCCAGATATTTAACTCAGAAGTTGAATATTGGACTTAAATTTGTCAGGGGGTCAGTTTCTGCTGAATGTGGGAAAAGGCAACTGCTCTCTCACACACAGGCCATATCAACTTAAAAAGTAATAATGAGTGCAGGTGGTGCAGTGGAGTGGTTAGCTCACAGCAAGAAGGTTGCAGGTTCGAACCTTGGTCGTTCCAGGCCTTTCTGTGTGGAGTTTGCATGTTCACCCCGTCACTGCGTGGGTTCTCTCCGGGTGTTCCGGCTTGTCCAAAGACATGCGGCCTAGGTTAATTGGGGACTCTAAATTGTCCTTAGGTGTGAATGTGACTGCGATGGACTGGCCATTTCACCCAATGTCAGCTGGGATTGGTTCCAGCCCCCAGTGGCCCTGTACGCAGGATAAGCGGCTGACGATGGATGGATGAATTTACAGTTACAATTGCATTGCAGGTGTATTTGATTTTCAGTTGCATTATAATATATTTGATGATGGGTTATTGCATTAAAATATAGCTTTTTTTTACCAGACGAGGATGAAAATAAAGTTATTCCTGATTTATTTTGGGTATGTATTTTAGGCATTTTTCCTGGAAATAGGGGCAAAGCCCGGAGGTAACCAACAGGTTAACTTCAACCTGAGTAATGGTCCAATCAATCAGAATAACATCTGTTTCTAAAGTGTATGTATCTTTCCATAATATTTATGAAAGTTGTTTCATATGACTTTCTTTACCATTTAAAAAGATATTAGGGGGTTCAGAGGCTTCTTCATCCTGATAAAAATCCAATATGGCAAGAAACAGGATGAAGCAGCTCAGACTTAAACATACTGGGAACCAATGGCTGTATCCGGCCTCAGTTTCACAAATCCATATTGGTCCATATCTGTTCAAAATTCACGCAGACCAAACGGCATTACTTTTTTCATTGTTTTATTTTCTAAGGCAAGCTGAGTTTCCTCACTCAACCCCCACATGAAACGCACAACATTCAACACAGAAATGTAACTATGCATAAATGGGAAGAACCGACACGAAACATTTACAAAATAAATTAAGGCAAAGATTTGTGGGCAAGATGTGACAATAAAGTAAAAACGTCCTGCAGTTTCATTACTGATAAGGCAATGATTTGTGGCCTTCATAACAATAAGAAACCATGCTCTGAGCTTGTGACACATTAAATGCTATACTACAGGGGGTATCTCATTTTTGCAAAAATTATTACTTTCTAGGTGTGATTTATACCTTTTATTTAGCATTACTTTACATCACCATTTGGGCATAGTATGATGTACTGCAAAGTCAAATGACTCAACTGTGCAGCGTTAATATGTAACAGACAGAGACACATGTAAAAATGATGAGACTAATAACTATTCTAACTCTGGTGCTGTAGTCATACTTGCAGTCATAACATTTCTTTTCATTTAAAAATTCAGGACCCACATTTGTTCATTGTATTTAGAAATGTAGAGTTAAAGCACCCCGATATAGTAGTTTCCCAACAACAGACAACATGGAAACAACCTGAAAGCCTCCTCACAAGAACCTCAACTCACAACTTCAAAAAGATACTGAAATATAAGGCAGAGTGATAACTGATTCCTTTGTACGATACTGGCATCCCACAAACACAAAAACATGCTAATGAATTTTAAAAAGTAATATAACAGTGAAACAGTAGAGACATAATGTGTTTCTGGTTTAACAAATGATTGTCATTTCACTCTTGAATAAATAAACATCATGCAGTCTAAGTAGGCTCATCGCACCCAGCAGCATTAATGTCAAACCCTTCATGATAAAAATATTTATTAGCATATGGTATTGTTTTTATAAAATAGGAAAGTAAAATTGCTCATGGTAAGACTTAGATTATGGATTTTGTCATGAAATCATTAATCTCTGTAATTTACTAATAGACAGTAGGGGTAGGGGGTCTCAGCACAGGATGGTGCAGGGTTAAGATGCAACAACGACAAGCACATTTCTCTAGACTAACAGACAGAGCAGCTGGGTCTTGTCCTGTGGTATTTATCGTAGTGGGATAATCGCATCAAGACATTTTTACTTGGCTACTAATATTAACAGTGGATCTGTTACATTTCAGTGTCCTAGTAAGACATGTCAGTGGGCCAGCGTTCACAATACAATGTCCGTTGAACTGCAACACTTAAGTGGAATTGAGTCTAAATTGTTATTAGTTACCTCTGTGTTTGACAAGTTGTCCACCATGAGAAAAGAAATGGTAAAGGCAAATTAGAAGCAACAGGCAACATTGACCACCACCTCCTTAATGTAGATTATACGCTTTAAATGTTTGGCTTCAGCATACAAACAGGTACAAACCTAAACCGATGGCAGAGCTAGTAAAAAAAAAAAAAAAAAAGTATATAAATTTCATCCCAAAAATCAGGCATTTTAAAAAGGGGATCATTTGTGTTAGAAAAAAATTAAATAACTAAATAAATAAAAAACAGGAAAGTAAAGGACATCATGGGCTCTATTTTCATGTCAGCACAAACACTACAACAAGTAGCACGATGCTATGTTGCAATTTTCCCCACCTGACCACAGGGTAGGATTTTCTGTCAGAGCAGCAACAAGATGGGAGTCCCAAGCAGATGAGGCATTGCAAGGCAAAGTGTTTGATTTTGGGGGGGGGGGGGTCATTTGTTATTCTATCTGTAAGTGCCAACTAGTGACATCAGAACCCTTTAGAGCTTTTCAGTCTGACACTGCTATTATGAGCAATAACAGCAGATGCACCATGACCTACAGTTTGTCTGTTCTTTGAGAGTGCCACAGGAAAATAGAGCTCTAATGTGTTTACTTCACAGCCTACTAACAGCCTTTTGGAATGAAAGCCTTTCAGATAATAAATATTCATAATAATGCGTCTAATTTCCGTACACTGCAGAAGTCCTGTAATGAGTTCATTCAGGCCTGTTACGTCTCCTGAGGCCCGGCGCAGGCTGCTCCGCTCCAACCTCCTCAATGTTTTTCTCATATGACTCCTCTAGTGAGGGCATGAGCTCAGAGTCCTCCAATCCCTCTTCCTCCTCCTCCTCCTCCTCCACAGCAACCTCCTCCTCTTCCTCTACGTGTCCTTCTTCCTCTGCTTCCCTGTCAGAATCCTCCGGTATGAGCTCCTTCATCTCTTCGCCTTCTGTTGCCGCTTCATCTTTGGCTTCCAAATGCTTTTGATAGATTTTCTCCAAAACCTCTGTTGCTCCTGCAGAGGTGTGCTTTTCCACCATGGAAGCTTTCACTGCCGTGGTGTCGTCAGCGCCGAGTGACTCAATGAGGTCATCAAGATTACGCCCACATGATGCCTCTGAAAGTCACAAAACAAGTGATATAAAGTGAACCACATATTTTATTGATAAATAGCCCAGCTACCTGCACAATAAAGTCCCAGTCTTAAAGAATAGCCTGACAAAAATCAAATTAAGGCCTGATGATGAAAAGCCTGGTAAAAAAACTATTAAATATAGTATAATATACATTTCCATCAGCACAACAGTATGAAGATATCATACTCTGCTGTTTCTCATTTTAATCAGAAATACTGTTTTAGTTCACTAATTGATTTCACTCACTTCTATTCTGCTGTTTTTCCAGTGCTGTTAAGTTACTGTCAATAAAAGTTAACACTGCCCGTGGATACCAGAGCTGGAAGGAATGCTATCCTTTGAACTGTTAGACAGCTTGTGAACCATTGCAGGAAGTGTTTATTTGGACGTAGCTTAGGGTAAGGTTAACAGCGGTTGAAAAACTCCAAAATAGAAGAAACAGGAAATAATCAGTGAATGAAAACTGTTTTTCTGTTGGGAGAAAGCAGAGTGGGAGTATGGCATGACTCTGATGAAATTAGTGCAGTGGAACATTATGTATGTAATACTGAATTTATCAAAATAAACGACAAGGAGGAAGAGTGGAGTTCGCATTAAATAGAATCAACAGCAAACAAAACAGGAGCAGATAAGACATCAGGGAGGCTTCTCACTCAATTATGATGATATAAATATACGCATGGATTAGGAATAAAGGATTGCCTCTAATATAAACCTGTTTCAAATGAAGGCCTGATCCTCACTTCACCTCAGATTAATAAAAGGCCACTATTTGAAATATGTACAGTATATTTGAAAATTACATTTACATGACAGTGTTACATTCTGCTGAACCGTGCAGAGTTTGCAGGATTCCATTGAATCCAAACAGCAGCTGGCTTCCCATTGGTTGAAGGTGTGCTAGTAAAATCGATAGCCGCAGTGTTGCAATGAAAACCAGATTCTCAAAAGGACAACCCAGAAAAGCACCACAGCACACTCGAAACCGAGGTCTGAACCGAACTGTGGATTTGGTGCATCGTTACACCCCTACTGTGTTCTGATCTTTTTGCAAATGACACTTTAACCACATTTACAATTCAAAAATCTGATGCAAAACACTTCCACATTGAGACACAGGTATGGGTCAGTGGAATTTCAAACAACACCACACACAACACTGATGCCACACCCGCACAGTATGTATTGTAAGCTGTGGCTGCAGCATGAAGCATGGCTGCACTATCAATATCTTATTCTCTAGGCTGCAGTTTGCTGTTTTGGGTCTTTCAGTTAAACTCTGATTTTAAAAACAACCGGGTAAGCCTGCTGTGTGCACACAGAAGACGGACATCATCCTACCGTTGATGATCAGGGGTGGACAGTCCATTCCTCTCTTCTTCATCAGGAACCGGATTGTCTGGAGTTGAGACATGATCTCATTCTTTTGCTCCTGGGCCACCGACTTCACACTGAAGAGGAAAGAGAGGATGAAAACAAACTACTCTGAGCATGCAGGAAGCACATAGCCCCTTAACTGAAAACGAATTACTAGTTGGTGGCTCAGGCAGTACGCTGGTCAGCTTAGCATGCTGTTAGCATGCTAGT